GAGTGAGGGAAAAGGGACATGCCTCCACTGAATGTAGGCTCTGTGCCAGCTGCTTCTGCAAGAGGGAGGGGCCTCTGGATCTAGGGAGAGACCCTGTGGCAGCAACCAACCCAGTTCCCCTTTAGTGGGGGTGGGAAGTGACAAGCAGGAGTGTTTGACACAGGCACAGCAGCTGTGACGAGAGAGAGTAGAGGGCAGCGACACACCCAGGCAGCCAGACTGACTTGGAGGGTGTGGCCTGAGTCCAGAGCTTCCTGCAGAGGGCTGTATGTGAACTCAGCCACTTCGCCTCTTCACTTTACAGCCCAGTCTCTTGAGGCGCAGGGAGGCTGACCATATTCTTCAGTGCACAGAGCAAACTGACATCCTGCCAACGCTGGCCTTGTGGTGGTTTTGGCCCGAGAGAGACTGCACAATAACAGCTTTTTCCCACAGAGTGCCAGAGGCTGGTTCAGAGTTATCCCTGGAGGCGGGCTGTGTGGACGTCTGAATGAGAGCTGTGCCCTGTAAGCTCGTGTGTCTGAACCTTTGGTCCTGGCTGGTGGCACTGTTTGGGGAGGTTCTGGGGCCTTTAGGGGAGGAAGCCTTGCTGAGGCTTTGAGGGTGTAGAGCTTTGCCCCACTTCCACTCCTCTGGAACCTTAAGCCAAACCAAATCCTTTCTTCCATAGTTGCTTTTGGATGTGGTGTTTCATCGCAGCAACAGAAAGCAACTAATGTGTGGTCTCTATGTTTTGCTCTCTGGCAAGGCCTTCTGGGAACTACCCACACTGCCCTCTGACCAAGATATGCTTCTTTGCATGCCCCAGGTGCAGCCTGTCTGCTGTGGTTACCTGTGGCAGCCTGCTGTCTCTTAGCACTCTGGCCGCCGGTCTGCTCTTGCATCCTCTGCCCTAAGGCTGTACTGTTATGACTACCATGAGTTTAAGTGGGGTCTTGTCTGTGCCAAATGACAGACCAGTGAGCACGTACTGGGGGATCAAAGACGAGTGACAGGGCTTCCACTGCCACAGTGACAGTTACATAGAGCTGTCTCGGGCCATCCAGGCCCTTCCCAGGAGTGCTTCCTGCACCCCGTGTTTGCTGTTGTTTATCCTGTAATGCTCACTGCCCCACACCCCCTGGCTGTCTGTGTCCATCCTAAATGCTCTCATGGGGGAAGGACATTGTCAGGAGGCTCAGGTTCCGGAAGGCAGTGATTTGAAGTTCCTCGGTCCTAAGACAAGTGACTGCACTTTTGTGCCTCGGTTTCCCTTTTAGAAAACAACTATGAAGTCCTGGCCTTGGAATTCTTCACTGGTTTTTTGGGGCAGTGCTTTTTTTTTTTTTTTTTTTTTTTTTTAATTTCCAGATTGAAACAGTCACCTGGGGAGGGAGGGAGAGAGGGAGGAGGCAGGAGGCTCAGGTGAGAGATGTGGGGTTGTGGCTCCTCAAGCTCACAAGAGACATGTCTCAAGACTACCCATTGCTGTATAAACAGGAAGTATTTTCTGGTGAGTGTAGGAGACCCTGGTGTAGCTGCCTGCAGGTTGGGCAGGGAGTCTAAGGCCTCTGTGGGGTCATCTGCCTGCTTGGGTGAGTGTTTTGGTGATACAGCTGCCCCTGGTCCTCAGTGCTTCTATAAATGAACCCACTAAACTTATACAGTTTTCCACTCTGACATAGATGGAGGCCTTTCTTTGGGTCTGTATTCCCTCTCTCTAGCGAGGAGTGAACTGAAAACATTCGTGCTACATAGCTTTAGTTATCCTTCCTCTGTCCCCACCCCCTTCTCCCTGTGGGGTTGGTTGATGCCTGTGCATGTATGTTTGTGTAGGGGGTCCATGTAGGTCACGTGACAACTTGGTGAACTCAGCTCCCCCCTACTACCGTTCGAGTCCTAGAAATCAAAGTCAGATCTTCAGATTTGGCTGCAAACGTTACTGTAGAGCTATCTCGGCAGCCCTACCTTGCTTTTTCTCTGGATGAGGCCTGTGGCTCTCCGATGGGTCTAACCTGCCTGACAGCCAGCCCTGGGAGAGTCCTGTTGCCACATCACCAGTAGTGCTATAACAAGCACGCCCCATCACATGTGGCTTTCTACATGGGTTCTGGGAACCGAACTTAGCTCCTTAAACTTGTACAGCAAGCACTACCCACTGAGCCATCTCCCCAGCCCCTCTATATTTCAGGACACCATCAGGTATTTCACTGTAATGTCACCATGGCTCTCTGACAGCTAGAATGGCCACTGGCCTCTCCTGCCCCTGAGAGGCACTACCCAGGAAGCCAACTACCATCTCCTGCTGTCTCTGGTGTTGGGGGCTCCATCCTAAGCTGATGGCGTCCTCAGTGAGACTGTCGGCTCGAACTCTCCTTGCCATTAATTACGTGGTGAGCAAGTCTGCTTGCTTTCAAACAGGATTGTTCTGTACCCAAGGAGAAGCACTCAGTGGAAAATACCATTTTGTTTGGTACTTGGCAAGCAGGTCTTTGGGGCTCTGTGGGCACCACCCAGGCGCCTGTTTGTGCTGCAATGAATCGCCTGTGCCCGGTCAAGTGGAGCCGAGGGGAGAGTGGCAGCACTCATTAAAGAGCCGTTGCCCAGTCGCACTGCACAGCACCTCACAGTGACAGCCGTTCCCTGAAAAGACACAAACAACAAACTTCTCGAGCTCTATTTTTCTTCCCCGCCAGCCTGGAGACACTCGAGGAAAGAAGCCCAGCGAAAGGCGGCAGCGGGGAGATTTACCGATCAATAAAAGAGACAATTACAGTTTGTTGATGAAAGGAAATCCCCCGCCCGGCCCCTCGTGGCATCGACACTCTGCTAATGATAACTTGGGTAACCAGCTCAAGACGATAAAAGTCAATGGGAAGATATAGGATTTCAATAAAGTTATGGCACTTCATAAACCTTCCCGAGGAAACAGATCGCCCCAACCAGTGGCCAGTTCCAGCTGGATTCAGAACTTTAATTTCTCACTTATTGAATTTTTTGGCATTCACTAATTATGAATTCTATGCTGGGGTGATAACTATGTCCCTGGTTTGGGAGGGAAGAGACCCCAGACAAGACTTTGGAGGCCCACAGGCTGAGGGGAGGTTTTGTGGGGTACTCTCTTCATCCCAGTACCCCAACACTCTCAAACTAGGGGGTTTAAGAATAGGAAGTGTTAGTGCTGAGGGTAGCTAAGTTTGGGCGACAGAGGCGGGGCTTCATCCTCATGGGAAAGTCCTTGGTGGCCGCGGGGTTGCTCCTGGTGCCTGCATAGTCTGAGCGAGCTGGTCCATGGCAGTCACTATTCCCCCCTGAGAATCTTCTAGTATGGACAGACCTCACAGGTCTCACGGGAAGGAGCCACTGGCCAGGGACATAGACCGAGGCTGTGCTGGGCCACTCTTTTCTAGGGTGTGTGGGTAGGAGCCATAGCAGCCATGTGCTGGCCTTGTACTAGGACAGCATTTGCCAATGGTGCTAAAATCCTATTGTTTTCATGCGTACCGGTTGTCTGCAGGACAGCTCACTGGACACTTTGTCCCCAGCAGTATTGATTCACACAGCTGCCCTTGTGACCAGTTTCTTTCTGGGGGAGGATTTGAGACTTGGGGTGACCAGATGGCTGCAGAGCAGAGCTGGGGTTGGAAGCTGCGCCTTGCAGAAGGAACCATCCCCTCTTCCTGAGCTGTGCTGGCCCCAGCATCCTCACAGCTACATGAATGGGCAGAGCTGAAGCAGAAGGTGCCAAGCTCATCAGCAGGGGTACCCCAGGTTCCACTTAGAGGCACAGAGCTGGGCTTGCCCAGACCTGCAGGATGAAGAGCCTTGTCACCTTCCCCAAGGTGGTGTTGAAGCTGGGTTCTGGCACACCTGGACTTCCAAGGAAGGATTTGCCACCACAACTTGTGCGCCCCATGGAACTCTCAGAAGGTGACATCAGGTGTGGGTGTTCCCCAGCCTGGGCCTGGGATTTGGGGGCTGGGTCTCCTCTACCTAGGAGTGATAGCTGTGTCTAGAGGAGTCCAGTGGCCCTGTAGGTTTGGGGCCATACTTAAAAACTCCAGTCATGGGGTAAGAGAGAATGTAATGAGCAGCCCTGGGGAGGCGAGGCTCCCGAACAATGCTGAACCCCATATGTGGCCCTCGGAGTATCTTGGCTCCCCACTCAGGGCAGGTTGCGTCCTTGCTAGCAGGATGGAGGATATTTCCCTTCAGCCCCTGTGACAGGTCTTTCTAGCATTCTTGGGGACCTTGGGTCCCAGGCTTCAGCATCTCTCTACCGCTAGCTTTCTAATTCAGGCTGTCAACCCGAGGATCTGTAGTGTGCAGAGACTAGCTGAGGAGGGTTAGCCACAACTCCAGCTGTCACACTCATTCCGTGCTGAGTGGGAAGCAGCAGTGCTGGACATGGCCGGACAGGCTGGTAGCCTCACGTATCTGTGAGTTCTCTGTGGAGGTGAGGGACCCAGCTGGGTCCACAGATATTTCTGAACCCTCAGTGTCTGGGCATAAGGACAGAGCCAAGAGTTTTGAGTATCTTCTCAGGAAGGGCTGGTCCTCACTCACCAGCCTTGTTTTCTTGCTCTGAGTGTCACTGGTCAGAAGTCACGGTAAGTTAGTGTCCACCCTGGCATGGTTGAAAGGCGTGCCCCAGCATGGTTGGAGTGAGTACCCTGGCATGGTTGGAAGGAGTACCCCGGCATGGTTGGAAGGTGTGCCCTGGCATGGTTGGAGTGAGTGCCCTGGCATGGTTGGAAGGACTGCCCCGGCATGGTTGGAAGGAGTGCTGCTGGCAGGGTCGGCTCCTTTGATCACTGACCCCGTGCAACTGAGTCTAGCACTCGCCCACTTGAGCCTCTTGCAGGCTCTTTGGAAGTGTGTGCTGCGGGCAGATGGAAGCAGGCCAGAGTCCTGAGCTTTTTGAGTATCATGTGCAGGAACTCTGAAGCTCCCATTGCTATAGTCCCCCAAGCTACCTCGCACGCTATACCCACCCTGACCTGACCATCCATTGTCCACAGGAGCGAGACGGCATGCGTGCCATCCTGGGATCCTACGACAGTGAGCTAACGCAGGCTGAGTACTCACCCCAGCTGACACAGCGCATGTGGGAGGCCGAGGACATGGTTCAGAAGGTGCATGCCCACAGCTCGGAGATGGAGGTAGGTGCTCGCCATGGGCAAGTGGGGACCATGTTGGGGCAGCCATGGGGGATATTTTCGTATGTGCCCTACTTTACTTGTTATATGGCACTTGGTGGTCGGAGGATTCCAGGCAGCCCCAGCCAGCAGAGGTGGGTGTCATGGAGGTTCAGGGTGAGACAAGGCCTCTGCCATGTTGTTGTCAGGTGCCTTGAGGACAATCTGTGCCGTGAAGCCATGTGGTCCTTGTGGCAGACTGCTTCCCTTGCTGCGTGTTCCTGTCTAGGGGATGGTACAGTGTCTTCCAAGCAGTGTGTGACTTCTTGTCTCTCCCTGTCACCACCTGCAGCATTTGAGTCCTCTGTGAAGTCTCACGCTGCTTTGGTGGGGTGAGGGGAGAGAAAATGTCCCATTTTAAAGAAGAGACTTAACTCTTTGGCCCCTGTAGGCTGCTAGGTCCTGGGAACCAGTGAGAACTTCACTTGGCCTCTCTTTCCTGGATGGCCTGTGCCAATGCAGGACTCCTGCCTGCCAAATGCTGGCATTCCCTGGGGCAGGGCTTCACTGAAAACCATCCTGGCCACACCTGCCCTCTCTCCAACAGAGATGGGGAGGTTTGCCTAGTTCTCTGGAGAGGCTGTAGGAGCATACAGGACGAGGCAGGATGCTGCCTGTCAGGAGGACCACACGGCCATACCTCCAGATGATGCCTGTGCCCCTTTCTCAGTTGTATCTCTGAGCTTGACTGTGGCTGTGACCCTAGAAGCAGGACTGTTTATTGCCCACATTTTAATGACAAGCATGCTGAAGCCCAGAAGGCCCGGGACTAAGCCCAAGCCACCTGTGGACAAAGCTGGGTCCACTCTGCAGCACTGCCCACCGTCACAGCGTCCTGTCAGGGCCTTGCCACACTCTGCGGCCCCTCAGCTCTCTTGGTCTTGATGTTAAGCACCTCTTCAGCTGGTCCTTGACCTTGGCATGATGTAGACACACAGAGAGGTGCTGCTGGTGCCAGTCTTTCTGTGCAGGCAGCTCGGGCCTCACCCAGCCAGTGCTCCTGGCTATCTACCTGGAAAAGTGTCTAAAGGGACAGCCAGGGTGACGGCAGGACCATATGCCCTTCCTGGACAGCACTGGAGTCCACACTGAGCAGGGCCCCTTCCTAGGGTTGCAGCAGACTCTTTGGTGAGGGGAATGTTTGACAAGTGTCAGCTGGCCTGGTGACCCAGACTTGCATACCAAGCTACTTGGGAGCCTGAGATAGGAGGATGATAAGTTCAGCCTGGCCTATAGAGCAAGTTTAAGGCTAGCCTGGGCAATGTAATGTCTGTCTTAAGTTAAAAAAAAAAAGGTGGAGAATATAACTTAGCTAGGGTGTGGCTCAGTGGCAGAGGACCTGCCTGGAATCCCCCAGTGAGGGGCTGGGGTGTGACTCAGTGGCAGAGGACCTGCCTGGAATTCCCCAGTGAGGGGCTGGGGTGTGGCTCAGTGGTAGAGCACCTGCCTAGAATCCCCCAGTGAGGGACTGGGGTGTGACAATGGTAGAGCACCTGCCTGGAATCCCCCAGTGAGGGGCTGGGGTGTGGCTCACTGGTAGAGCACCTGCCTAGAATCCCCCAATGAGGGGCTGGGGTGTGGCTCAGTGGTGGAGCACCTGCCTAGAATCCCCCAGTGAGGGGCTGGGGTGTGGCTCACTGGTAGAGCTCCTGCCTAGAATCCCCCAGTGAGGGGCTGTGGTGTGGCTCAGTGGTAGAGCACTTGCTAACTTTCATGAGTTTGTGTATTAAATTTCTAGTATTGCAAAAACAAACAAATAATATATAAATGAAACCCATGATAACCACAAAGTGCAGTAGCATTTTAGCTGTGAGGTGTGGAAATGTAGGCGTCCACTAGGAAGCAGTCAGAAACTCCTGACATTTTCTAACACATCTGGGAAAGTAAGGAAGCGCCTTTGAATCCACAGCTGAGAGGATGGCTATAGGTCTCCAGGTAAGACGACTGGGGAGTGACAGGAATGGGAGCTGCTGAGCTTCAGCTCTGGGGATGGATTGTGGCAAGGCTGTGCTGTAGGAGGAGACCACAGTCCAAGCTGCCCTTGTGTTCTTTCTGCCTGTGAGAGTCTCATCAGGCCTGCATTGTCCTCTCACGGGGGAGCATTCCTCACTGATATTCCTGGCAGAGTGAAACAAGCCCATGAGTGGTTCGAACCCCTTCAGGTCCTGGCTGATCTTCCCACCCGCCTCTCTGGCTGCATACTTGTCCCCAGGTCTCACAGGAGGCCAGCAGCCAGGAGTGATGCCCACCGGGGCTGCTGTGAGCGGCTGCATCCCAGCCCTCCACCCTCATCTGAAAGGTTAGCTCGGGCTCCAGCACGCTGTACCGTCATCAGTGTAAGTGTGTTAATGACTGTTTTATTACGGCACAGTTAGCCCCATGAGAAACGCTGTCGAGGGGAGAGCTGCGGCTCTGCTCTCTGACACCTTCTGGTGATCCTGGCATTTTCTCGCTGAGGGGACCTGTCTGTGCTGCCCACCTTACACAGGCCGTAAGGAGTGTGATAGTCTGGGCACAGCCTGTGTCAAGTGTTCTGTGGCAGCGATCAGTGTTGTCAGGACTCAGCCCCAGCAGATACGCACACCCTGTCAGTGTCTTGCTCTTGCCCGTTTCCGGAGTGTGTGTCAGCTCCCTCCCTCTGCCCTGCAGGATGCTAAGATGTTAGTTCTTCCTCTGTTTTGTGTCCCAGAGCTATGGGAGAGCCAGTGGATGGAGAGGTTGGGGACTCAGCAAGGTCTCTTACTGTCTCACAGTCATCACTGGGAGCGTTCAGGAGGCTAGTCCTGGTGGGGGAGGCTGAGGAACCCTCCCGATGCCTGTCGTAGTTGGGCCTCCTGTGCTGGCATTGGAGCCTCTTGAAGCAGGCTGGCCCTCAGTGACCTTCCTCCCTTGGTCCTAGGTATGCTGGGATCACGGCTGTGATGAGGCAGGATCCTGTGAGCAGAGCTCTGAGTGGCTTTTCTAAACCCTCTCCCAACCCTGTGGCCCTGCTGGTTATGCTTAGAGCTGGTGGCTGTGCTACTGTCTGTTAGTCTGGAGTGGCCATGTGTTCAGACTCCCGCCTCATTTTCACAGGACTCAACAAGAGACCTTTCTACCCAGCCAGTCACAGGCTTCCCTGTCTCTGTTGGAGTCCTCCTCATGCAGGGGGGCAGCACAAAGTCTGGCTGCCCCAGGCCTTTGAGGGTGGAGTGGTACCTGCTTTAGCATGGTCTAGAAGAGAAAGCTGGCCTGGAGGTCCTAATGCCCTGAAGTTGGGGGTGGCACGCCTTCTGCTTCCACCAGGTGGCAGCAGACAGGCTTACCACATTCTGGGCCTAGCCAATGGCCTGGAGGGGCCAGGGCAGGTGCAAGGAAGGATGGCCCAGAAGAGGGAGTGATGAGAACTGGGTGCGTCCTGGGTGAGTGCTGATCAGAGGGGAGGACCTGGGCAGATGTGAGAGCCTCCCAGCTGGGTGGCCTTGGCTTTCTGCTTCCCAGCTCTGTCCCGGGGCCTGAATCCAGGAGGTACTCCCTGCCACTTCTCCTTCCCACTCTGTTCTCTGCCCTGCAGTCCCATGTACTGTTGGGTGTAAGTCCCCAGCTCTGTAAGTCCCCGTCTCGTGAGAAGAGGCCCCGGGCAAACGACCTGGGTCGTAGAAGGCGAGCTATGCATGGGCCAGAGGAGGGAGGAGTCGCCTCTGGGAATGCAGGTGTGGCCTCCTGGGGCCTTGGTGAGGCTGGAGGGGTATGTCCCAAGCCAGAAGTGCTGGGCATTGAGGGTGACTTATGCGGGTGACTGGAAAAGGGCCCCTGGCCATAGTGAGCCACGACGCAGTTCCCGTATCAGCCCCGGAGCTTGCTGTTTACAGTCCGCACCCTGGCCATCAGCAGCCCTGCAGACCCATGGCCTAGGCCTGGTGGCATCTCTTGCCCCCGACTCTTTGAGGAGAGCACTACTGGGCCAGGACAGCTACAGCTTGGTCCAGCTGTGCACTGACCATCTCAGGCTGCTCCATTCATCAAGATGGCAGACATCAGCTGCCGCTTCTATGTGCTGTGCCTTGTGGAGGCATCCTGCAGTCTACACAGTCTTCTTCAGGATCTCTCAGACTCCTTGGGACAGGGCTAAGTGTCTCTTTTTGCAGTTGGGAGAACTGGAGTCTGAGAAGGAGGATAGTCCAAGGCCAGCCTTCCTGTTTCTTGTTCTCCTCATCCGATGAGCATGTTGACATCCCTGGTGGGTACATTCTAGAGACCTCACTCACTGCCCAAGGTCTGAGGGCTAGACCCGTGGAGGACTTAGCATTTCCTGAGTGCTGAGTGCCCGAAAAGTGGCTGAGATAAGGGCAGGCCATCATCTTGGAGCAGGGCTGTGCAGTTCATTTTAGGGCAGCCCAGCCTTGACCTAGCACTGTATTCTTAGGCCGAGGGGCAGACCGTTGGTCTTGCTGTAGGTGGCAGAGCTGCAGCCATGGGCGGTAGCTTTCCATTGCCTTACTGGACAGTCAAATTCATATACCAGAAGCTTGCAAATGGCTCGTGCCTGGAGAGCTTTAAAAGTCTTGTCAGGAGTTTATTAGCTGAGCTGCTTGTATTGACACAGTAAAAAGTTATATAACTTCGTGGAACTCCTTCCTTAAAGGTCCCTTAGTGCCATGCAGCCGGACAAACATTGCTCAGGCCTGGGATGCAAGTAGTTTCTTCCAAGGTAGATAAGCAGCAGGAAGTAGAGAGCGAGCCCTCACGTTGCCTGAGGTGTCAGAATGTGGAGAGGTGCGTGCAAGGGAGCAGCCCAGTGTGGGGTCTGACTGCACATCCCCCCTCAAGGGGTACGGACAAGAGGGAGACCTCCAGGGAAACAGGGACATCACACTAGTCATTGGTGACCCGGTGTCCTCGTGTGTGCCGCCTCCTAGCCTCTCTACCTCTCCTCCCCTTTACTTACTTCCCTTCTGCTTTTATCCCTAGTCTTCCCTTCTGTTTCCTGTTCTCTTATTCTGTATGTCTGTCAGTTGTGTGTGTATGTATTTCCTTGTGCACATTTGGAGGTCAGGTCAACATTGGAGCCTTCCTTTCACCATGCCCTGGAGCTCAGATTTGGCTAGATTGGCTGGCCAGTGAGCTCATGGGATCCTTCTTTCCCCACCTCACCACACTGTGATTGAAGGCGCACAGTGCCAAGGTCGGCATTCTCCATGGGAGCTGGGTTTGGAAACTCAGGTCTTGATTTTTGTGTGGGATCCATCTCCCAGCCCCCCTATTCTCTCTTTTTCTCTCTGATGGCTTTCCTCTGTCCCCTTTCGTCACCCTCACCCCAAGTTCCTGTTTTCTCTGGGGTCAACAGGCTCATCTGTGGCTTCCTGTGCACTGGGCATAGCCTTCCCGTGCTTGGCCAGGGGGATGGGAATGTTCCTTGCCAGTTTTGTTCCTGGGTAGGCAGGCAGCCCTTGAAGGCCTCTTCTCAGCACAGCCTTGGCCTGGGCTCCCATCCTTCAGCTGTCCCAGCACGGGGCATGCTTTGATTCCAGCAAAATCATTTCAGCAAAACAAACTAGAAATTCGGAGCGGGGAGACTCCCAGTAGCCTGTCTCTGGCGGTGCTCCTGCCATTTTGCCCGGATTTTATTTATTCCATTTAATAAAGCGGCTGCGGAGGTTGGAAGCAGATGTCACGAGGCCTCTGTCAACGGAGCCGTAAATACAAGTGTGTGGCACTTGGATGCCACGCGTCACCTGAGCTGTGTTTCCATCGTATTTAATTAAAACAGATTACAGCGCGGCCAGCTACATGGAGACTCCCTCACAAACGCGCTGGCGTGCTGTTTTCTGGTGAGAAGACCACACCATGGGGAAACATGGGAGAAGCTCCAAAGAGTTCAGAGAAGTGGATGCAGGAGGCTGAAAGGAGTAGCAGGAGGACAAGGGCCACAAATGTGACAGGGCCATCACTCTGCCACTGAGCTATAGCTCCAGCTCACTGGGCCCATTGCGTAGACGGAGGACAAATACTCTAAGAGCTGAGATCAGATGGTAAGGTCAGCTTTTGTGGCAGTCACATGGATGATAGGCAGTGATTGGGATCCTGGCCTCATGCCAGAAGATTGATTGCCTGAGGCTGTAGTTCCCAAATCTGAGCTGTCGGCCCCCTGCAAGGTCTTGGAACACTTTAGGCCAGGACCCTCCATCCACACAGGATTTGGTGGCTGTGGGCTGGCTGTGGGCGATGAGCCTGGCCATCTCCTGTTTCTAGTTACGTGCCTAGCATTTCTGGGAATGGCTCTCTGTAGACTCGCTAACAATGACTAGAGTATGATGGCTCAAGCTTGGGCCATTTGTCCCCTTCGCCTCTGCAGCACCCACTCCTGGCCACAGGGCCTCCATAGCCCATCCCACAGTCTGCAGCTTTGGATGCCTGGGCATGCTGACGGTCTCCTCAGGGGCCGGCCTGCTCTGCAGCCCCCAGACGCTGAGGGCGTTCTGCCTGCCAGCCACGTGGGAAGGAAAGGCTCCTGTGTCCATGTCTACACCCAGGGGAGAGCCTAGCACTTAAGTCTTGGCCTCTTCAGTGTTACCTGTGACCTTCAGTGGACCCTGCCTGCTTAAGTCCAAGTGGGGCCGGTGCTCTGCTCTCCAGGCTCTCCCAGCCAGGCTGTGGCATGGTGTTGCAGAAGGTAGCACCAGCCCCCTTTAGGGTCTAGGATGTCCTGTCCCAGCCTGCACCCACCACAGATTTTCCTGCACACCCCAAGCTCTCTGTGTGCCTGCAGGGGTGCTAGATCATCAGGCCGCCACTTCTCACTTCAGGATAAAAATAGCCCTGCCGAGGCTTCTGTGCAGGATGGAATGTCACAGGTGGCGCGTGTCCAGGGCTTGTGTCTGAACACACGCAGTTCCCAGGGCCTGGCTGGGGACCACACCAGCACTGTCAGCACTTCCTCAGGGAAAAGAGGTGTATGCTAGCCCACCTGCTGCCTTGGCCACTCCTGAGACCAACCTCAGCTGTGCTGTCCCCGTGCTGTTGCCTGAACAGGGGCTGCTGTTGCCCTCTCCAAACCGGGACCATCTCTGGAACAGCCTCAGCCTGTCTTCCTTGTGCCTGGCCTCAAAGCCAGGCTTTGCCTCTTCATGGCAGTAGTATCTTGGGCAGGGCTGGAAGGTGGTGCCCTGTGAGCAGAGGGATGCTAGGTGAGTGCCTGGGCTGGCTGAGGGCAGATGAGCAGCTGCTGGGCAGAGGCACCCTGCTGCTCTTTGTCTGTGCGAAGGCTGCCCGTCCCTCTTTAGAAATCTCAGGAGAAAACGAGCATACGGGCCCTGATGTCACTTTACTGTGATGCCACCACCTCAGTACTTCCTCAGTCTAGACGCCAGGCAGATGGAGCCCTGGAGCCACCCGTCTCCCACTGCTGGCCACTGCACTCCATCCTTCGTCCCGGCTCTGCACTGTCTTCCAGCGAGGCCCAGGCCATCACCATCACTGTCTTCCTTCTGGGGCGGAGGCAGCATTTGCCAGAGCTCCGTGCTCAGGCTGCAGACAGGACTCCACCATACTGAGCATTCTGAGACCGCCGTGGTGATCGCAGCCAGCATTCCTTTTGCACTGGGCCCTCAGAAGGGCCCTGCTCTCTGGATGAGGACGTGGTGACTCAGATGTCCCATTCCCCCAGCGGTCTCCTCCTGCCAATCCTGTTGCCTACGCCGCTGTTCTCCCAGGCCGTGTGCTCTGAAGACTCCTCAGCTAGCCATGCTTGGCTGACCACGAGACCAGACCCTTGCTAGGGGAGCCATGTCATGGGCACGGTGTTTGATTCTGGTTCAACTGTCCCAGCAAGCGTGCTCTGTCTGGAGGGTTTTCTGTCTGTCTTCTGGGGTGGTCATATCCCGATGCTGGTGTGTGATGAGGTGCCAGGCGAGCTGCAGGGGTAGCCAGGTCCTTTCCCGTCTATAGACAACCCATAGAAGGTGGGTTGTCACTTACCATCTCTGTCCGTGCGAACATGCAGGCGTGTGTGTGTGTGTGTGCGAGTGTGTGTGTGTGTGTGTGTGTGTGTGTGTGCGTGCATGCATGCAGAGCTCAGTGGACAGCCTCAGTGGTCGGTCTTCACCTTCCAGTTCTTTGAGGCAGGGCCTCTTATTCATACTGAGTGTACCAGGCTAGCGATCCAGAGAGCTTCCAGAGGCTCCTGTCTCTGCCTCCCCCCACTGTGGAAGCACCAGGATTACAGATGTGCACTGGTGTGTCTGCATTTACATGGACTTTTGGGATCCGAACTTAGATTCTCAGTTCTGTGGCGAGTGCTTTTTCCACTGAGCCATTTCTCAGCCTGGAAGTGCGTTTCTCAGTCCTGAGCACACACCTCGAGGGGATTATGCAGACACAAAACGCTATGGAGAAACCAGATCTGAGTTCCTGCAGTGTCACCACCACAGCCACCACACTTGCTTAATTCCCGTCCTCTCCTTTCAGCGCCCCAGCACTTCCTGAGCTCTGCCAGCCCTGTCTTCGAAGAGTGGTGTTTCGCTGTTGGTCCTGATTTGCATTTGGCTAATTGCTAACCATGTTAATTACCTTTCTGTGTGTTTGCCGCCTGTGTGCGTTTCCTTTTTGGGAGATTTCTGTTTGCCTCTTTGCCCGCTCTGCTGTCACACTGTTTATTTTTTCCCTCCCTGCTTTGTAGCAGATCAGTGTGTGTCCTTGAGGCCAGTGGAGTGGATGATAGTCTCTGCCCTCCATCCCCTAACTCATGAGGCAGTGAGGGTGCTGTGTCTTGGGGCAGAGAGGAAAGAAAGATTGTACCCTGGCGGTAGACATGTGTGCTTTACAGTTCTTCCAGTTTTGGGAGTCTCAGGTTGGACCTGGGTTCAAATCCTGCCATGCTCACTCACTGACTCGTCCATGGTGTTTGGCTTCTGGACCCATTTTCCTAAGAAAAGATCTAGGGGAGGGTATGCTGTGCCATGAGAACATCCACAGGCACTGGGTTCCTCTGGTGTCTGCAGGGTGCTTCAGCCTGTGGCCACTCCAGGGGAGAGGGCCAGCCTCACAGGAGATCAAGTGGAGGAAGGTGTGCCCTTGCCTGTTGCAGAGCTGACAATGAGGTGAGCCTGTTGCTCTGGGCTGGGCAGTGCCCTTCCAGCTCGGGGAGGGTGCCTGCGTGCTTGCTGGTAAGCAGTTGGCTCAGTGCTGGTGTGCGGTTCTGCCCGGCCACAGCAACTACCTGTGGTCGGGCTGAAGTTCTGCAGGCCTCTTGGCCGTGCCACTTACTGCCTGCCTGGGGAGGTTCTAGTAGGGCCTGTGACAGCCGCAGTGTCCAGTCAGTGAGGAGTGTCTGTCTCTGTACAGGGGCCATGCTTTGAGCTCAGGAGGATGGCAGTTCTTGGCACCCTGGAGCCAGGGTCTGTGCCCTTTGGCCCTCTTGCAGCCTTGTAGGGCATTGAGTCTGTGTTTGTTCAGAGTCTGTGGCCTCCAGGAGCCTGCTCCTTCACCGGGTTGCTGAAGCAGAGGTCGGAACACCTCAGGAAGGCCACCCTCCTCTGGGTGTGGAACCCTGGTGTGAGGCTCAGTCTTGGGAGTCTTGGTCAGACTGGTACTCAAGAACAGCATGGCCCCCCTCAGCTTCCCCGTCAGAGCCTTCCTTTTCTGGGGATAGCCGCCCCCTCCCTGTCCGTGAGTCTGCCCAGGCTTCCCAGTAGTGACTGCTGAGGAGCCATAAATGTTCTGGGTCATGGCCTGTGTCAGCAGGACCTCAGTTAGTGCATCCAGAGTGGGAAAGGGTAAAGGTTGCGGCTGGCTTGCATGACCCCAGCACCCCACTCCAATGTATAGACAGCTGGGATTGTGGGCTCAGAATTTCACCTCTTCCAGGGCCTGGCTAGGGTGGCAGTGTGGCCCTGGCAGGCTCAGTATGGTGTGGAGGCTGAGGTGGGCCATTCTCCTGACCTTCTTGGTCTTGTCTTATAGGCTCAGCTGTCTCAGGCCCTGGAGGAGCTTGGGGTTCAGAAGCAAAGAGCCGACACGGTAAGTACTGATGTGGGGTCGCTTGCTGCTGTGTGGTCAAGGGCAGGACATGGCCTACCAGCACACCCTCCTGTGCAGTCGTGATGTTCTCTGACCCCAGAAACTGCAGAGTGGGGGGAACCAGGGTGGAAGCCGAGTCCTGGTGCCCACCCCTTTGTGATACTAAGGTAGGAGCCAGCAGGTGTCTAGGAAGTTATTTGGGAGTTGGTGGCTAAGGGCTTGCATCTGGCCAGGTCACCCAAGCAGCCTAGGCTGTGGGCGCTCAAGGCTCAGGTTGGATAACATGGGTGGGGTTTGCCTGTGGGACTCTGAGGATGTGGTTAGAATTCACAGGTGGGGCTGGCTTGTGGAGGCTCTGAAGGTTCTGGGTCAGGCTTGAGATTCTGGTCTGAGGGTGGCAGGGACCAGTCATGGAATACAGAATTGGGGAATGCTGGGTGGCCACTGCCCATCACCAGCTAGGGACACAGTGTGTTGTCACCAGCATGGGGCATCAGACAGGGACCAAGCAGAGGCTGCGCAGCAAGGTGTCAGCCAGCAGGTAGCTGACAGTAAGGCCGAGTGGGGCAGGGGAAGGTGCCTGGGGCTATAGTCAGTAGTGGCAGGCTGGGGAGGCCTATGGCTTAGAGTGTGGGGAGCTTGGAGGGGACACTCCTGTTGATTGTGAGGTATTGTGGGGTATTATGTCCAGCTGTGAGGAGGCTCGGTTTGCTGTGGAGCCTGGTATCAGTCAGTGGGCGTGGTGGGCTTCTTTAACTTTGGCAGATTCTTAGGGCTGGTATGACTTGGTTCTACCCAGGCAGTGTTGACTGGGGCTGGTTAGTGTAGTAGCTGTCTTGTCTCCACACATGGCCTCTTGGGCTTCATCCCTGTGGTCCAAGTGCTCAGCCTCCTTGAGTGGTGGCCTGTTTGCCGTTGCCATTGGGAAAGACACGTGTAGGGGTGTGGGGGGTTCTGTGAGCTGAGCATCAGTCAGCGCAGCCTGGGGAGACCCTGATGTTCTGTGTATCAACATGCCTGGCTTCCTCGGTGTTGACCTGAATTGGAATGTACCCCAGGGCCTTGTTTTCATAATGTACACAAGGCCAAGAAGAATTAGAAATGAGTGGTGCTAAGCGAATGCCGGGCTCAGGGCTCTGTGGCTAAGCTTGCCCAGGCGCATTTTGCACAGAGGCACAGCTGCCTGGCTCTGCCTGTACTTTCCGAGTCTCTTTGGAGGGACTGTGTGCCCTGGGTCCATGTTCGGGTGGAGTGCAGAAGCTGTGCTTAGGCCCTCGGTCCTTGGTAGTGTGGCTCATAGGCTTCCCCGTCTTGGTATGAGAATAGTGACGTAGTGCTGAAGTCTAGCTGGTCCTCTCATCTTGAGTCCCCTGTTGACACTCCTAGGACCTGAAGAGTACTAGTGACCAGACCCCCACAGAGACTGACTTAGAATCCTAGGTTCTAATCCTGGCAGGGTGGGATTTGGCCTGTATTGCTTTGGTCCCAACGAGCTTGGCCTTCTAGCCCTGCCTCATTTTTGTATTTAATGTGTTTGTATGTACATTGTATATGTGTGTATGAAAGAGGGAGGGAGGGAGGATGTGTATGTCCTTGGCATGTAGAAGTCAGAGGGTGGAGGTCTTTCCTTCTGCCTTGTTTGAGGCAGCGTCTCATTACCACTCCGTGCCCAGCTAGCTGTCCTGTGAGCGTCTGTCTCCACCCCATCTATCTGTGCCAGGGTGGGATTATAGACACTTGCTACCACTGCTAGCTTTATCTGGGTGCTGGGACTCAGACACAGGTCCTCTGGCTTGTATTGCAAGTGCTTTTCCTCCTGGCCCATCTCCCCAGCCCCAGCCCTGCCTTCTTGCAGAGCCTTATCCCTGGTTTTAGGGGTCGTGGGGACTGTGGTTGTGCTGGGTAGTTTTATGTCAGGCTGACAGAAGCTAGAGTCCTTAGAGAGGAGGTAGTCTCGGCTGAGAAGGTGCAGTTGAGAAGATCAGACAGTAGGCCATTTTCTTAATTCCTGATTGATGGGAGGTGTTAGGAAACGTGGGAATGTGAAGGTTACACGAGGGTTCACAAATCATGCCACGAGATCGGTTCCACGTGGGAGGTTTATTAGGGGAAGGGGGGAGAAGGGAGCAGAGACAGAGAAAGGAAGAGAGAGAGGAGAAGAGAGAGGAAGAGGAAGAAGAGAGAGAGAGAGAGGAGGGTTCCATTTCTCTTATAGGGTGATCAAGGGCATGCGCAGGTAATTCCAGGTGGTCAGGGTGTCTTTACAAATGCCTGATAACCGGTCTTTGGGGCTGGCCATAGAAGTGCCTGCTTACTGATCCCAACAGGAGGGGCCCAGCCCATGGTGGGTGGTACCATTCTGGGTTGGTGGTCCTGGGTTCTATAAGAAAGCAGGCTGAGCAAACCATGGGGAGCAAGCCAGTGAGCAGCACCCCTCCATGGCCTCTGCATCAGCTCCTGCCCCCAGGCTCCTGTCCTGCTTGAGGATCTGCCCTCACTGCTTTTGCTGATGAACTGTTATATGGAACTGTGAGCGAAAGAAACTCCTCTCTCCCAGAGTTGCCTTTGGTCGTGCTGTTCCAGCACGGCAGTAGTGACCCTGACTGAGACAGTGGACAGTGCCAGATTCTAGTGAGTCATGGCTGTCTTTGCCCTGAGACAGGCCGGGTGCTGCAGGGTGCCGATCTCTGGTGCTGTGTAGTAGATGCAGGCCCCTGGGGCAGGCTTCCTTCCTGTTTATTCAGGGTTGGAGCTGGAGCTGTCTCCTCAGCCCTATTTTTGAGCTCTGCCTCTGATTGCCTAATCTCAGGTCATTTCACGTTGTTTATTTTACTTCTCTTCTCCTTCCCATTTAAGAGGAAAATAAGAAATGGCAGTGCTTGGGGACCTGCGACGCAGCTGGTCACAAGTGTGTGTTTGCCTCCCAGCCTCCATCTTTCCCACAGATGCCAGAGGGTTCGGGGGTGTCTTAGCCAGCTGAGTAAGGCCTTGAGGAGGAGCAGTGACCCAGGGCCTGGCAGACTAGGTTCATGTCCCGGCTGTCAGTGACTTCTGAGGCTTGGCTGCCCCAGGCAGCTCACCTGCCCCCTGGCCAACCTGCGCTCCGTGAGGGCAGCTTTCCCTAGAGTATCCGGAACAAAATTCTGTGGAGCAGTGTATCACGAGTTGCGTGCCTAGCCCCTCCATACAGCTGGAGTCTTGTTGAGTGTGGGGTTTATTTTACTCGCCGTGTGTAGCCGTGGCTCCCATGAGGGACAGGTCACCTGGGTCTCTGGAAGCTCTTCCACCTTTCTCTTCCTGCCCTTGCAGCTGCATTTGCTGTTGGCAACTACATTTCTTTCCTCCATTTGTTGATTCTTTCTCTTGTGTTTCTTTGTGGCTAGAAGTACATATTTGAGCACATGTGTGCATGTATGTATGAGTGTACCTGTGTGTGCCTGCATGTAGAAATCAAGGAATAACTTCAAGTGTCATTCCTTAAAGAATCTGATCAGAGGCTTTGAGGGGCCAAGGCCACATCTGTGCTGGCCTTGCTGGGTGCCAGTATGCAGCCATGCAGACATCCACTACTCAACTGTGCCAAGGCTGGGTAAGGACTAAGAGGAATGAATTGTATTTCCTAGGTTTTAGAGACACAGCCTTGCCTCACAGCTGAGGCTGGCCTTGAACTCACAATTTCTTGTCAGAGGCTGCCAACCTGGCAGTCAACTTTGTGACAGCACAGAGATTTACTGGTATACTGTCATGCCCTTACTCCTAACAGGAACACATAGCCCCACTTGCTCCTCCTCCAAGATGCCATGTGTTCCCACTGATGTCACTGCTGCCAGCATTCCGCCCTAGGGCAGGCTTCTGGCTCCCCACTGGAGGTGCTCAGAGTCTCTGGGACCTGTGGTGGCTGTAAAGGACCAGACCATTCTGGTGACCTGTCCCCCAAGACAGGGTTCTAGATGTGTGGGGCAAGGTCTCTTCATTGGCCTGGATTGTTGGCATCTAGGCCAGGCTAGCTGTCCCTTTCCCATCTTCCCATCTCTGGGATTCTGAGCATGTGCCACCACACCTGGCTTGGGTGTGTGTGTGTCAGAATCAAGGTCCTTGAAACACATGGATGGCCATGTGTTTCATCAACGGAACTATCATCTCAGCCCTGGTTTTGATGTTTTTAGTAAGGGTTAAACTCTGCAGCCCAGGATGCTGGCCTCAAACTTATGGTTTCCCTGCTGCTCAGATAGAGGCATACTCACCACAACTGCTTCAGGGTGTCCCGGGGAACTGTGGGCCCAACCTCGAGGCCCCTCTGTCACCTGCTTTACCTTCATCCTGTGGCTGCCGCCCCTCTGATGAGCTGTGTATGGGCCTTGGGTCCACCCTTCTCTGGTTAACCCTAGCATGCCCTCACCCCCGTTTACTGAGGTCAAAGTGAGTTGCCAGTGAGGTGCCTGCTGCTTGCAGACTCCTCAGGCTTTAGCTCAGAGACAGGCGCTGCTCAGCCTGTCTCTGAGCCCGCCCCTTCCCCAGGCTGAGACTCCGGGAAGAAGGGCCAGCTGAGTGAGCACCACCCTGGCCCTGGGACGGAGGCTCATGTGACCTGCATGTCTCGGAATCACACGGGCTTCCAACATTATCGTGGACAAGGCACAGGTACTTGCCGGATGCCGCGCTTCCAGCCCTCAGCTGCTGCTGGAATCTGACTCCACACTTGTTCACAATCAGAAGGGGAGCTGTGCCATATTGAGCTAATCGCTAATGGCAGGACAAAGGCAGTTTGACTTTGTGTTATTAATTAGTAACCTCACACTAATTAGTGAGCATGAGTGTGGTTCATGCTTCCTCTTTAAACGCAATTAATACCACAAGGAGCAACGTCCCAGGCCAGGCTTGCGCTGTTTGCGTACCTCACCCTAATTAGATCCGGCCAGCAGCGGCTGGAGAAATGAGGTTTTTGATTACAACCATAAAAGGCCTCCAATATTTTATGGACTTCAGGGAGCTAGAAATGT